CAAAGCCTATTGTATTCACTACTCAGAATTCTCAGCAATGGGATATCACCAACAAAAGCCTGAATCTCTCCAAGCAAATACCTTGTTTATCTCATGGTCCCTTACAAAAAGAATTACTATAGTTGGGGCCTATTACTGATCCCCCAAGAAGAGGGGAAAAGCCACTAAGGAAGAGGGAATGTGATCCCTTCAATTGACCATGGTTGAGGTCTTCTCTCTTCTTAGAGGACATCACATTATCAATTGCGAGGTTCCATTTCTTTGCATCATTCCATTTTGTTATATCTTGTTTGGCTTTCTTTGTCTGGATATTTTCCAACTTTTTATTTTCAGTGTTTGGAAAGCATAGATGCTTTTTGGTTTTGCTAGTTTGTACTCTCTTGTACTTCTTTTCTATCTTAATGAAATTTGTATAATTTTAAAAAAAAAAAAAGAGGGAGGCAAAAATCAATAATCCTTAACTCAGGACTTTTTTGTGGAGATGATGTGCAGAAGATTACAAGCCATACACAGATTGTGTTCTCTGTTGAAAAAGATAAGTCATTAGACAACTCTTCCAATAAAACTTTGGATCTTACAAAGAAACACTACTAAGTTTCTCCAAGTCACTTCACTATGGAGCTATAACAACTTGGGTCTATTTCAACCAGGCGGGGATTGGGTCCCCTCAGGAGAACAATGTTGATAGCTTCATATGTGTTTTATAGTGGGTTCCATAATCAAATAAGTCCACTTTCAAAGCTCTTAGATGTTGATCTGACCTGGTGACTTTTTTCTCAGTACCACCACCACCCCCGCCCCTCTAGAGTGGTTACTTGTTTTCTTTGTTGTTATTCTCTACAAAACCATGGGGAATCTTACACTTTCTGTTGAGGGGCTCTTCTTTTTTTTTTTTTTTACTTCCACCCCTTTTGGATGTTTTCTTGTATGGACAGCTACTGATAGCATTGATCTTCCCACTTTTGTTTTTTGTTCTCGAAAGACAGTAAGTATTTTCATACCAACTTGTATCTATTTTATACTCTTTTACTTTATTTAATGAATGTTACTTGCCAAAAAAAAAAATGAATATATATATCACGGACTTATCATAGCCCATATCTTAGAAGCTAAATATAATTTCATTTATCATGAGCATTCAAATCACCTTGTATCTCAGTTCACCAGAAAGACCATTCACATTCTCTTTAGTGAAATTTGGCAAGCCACTAAGAAGGAAGTTAGTAAAGAGGAAGAAGTAGAACCACCATAGCAACACTTTACATATCCATAGAATGCTTGGATGAAACACTTCACTAAATTAGTGCTCAAGCTAGATAAGCATATAGCTTCATAGAATCTTAGGTGGGTTCAACTACAAAAAAGCTAGATGAGGATAGAGGACAGCTTTAGGATCAATTCTCTCAAATTCATAAATTCATGTATCCCTAATCTCTGCCCAATCAAGGATTATCCAAAGACTAGTTATGTATCATTTCTCTCTTTTTTAGTGTGTCTATGTCTATATTTTTCTTCCTTTGAGTCCACTTTACTTTTCAATATATTAAAAGTGGGATTAGTGGTTGTTTGCTTTTTATAGTGATTGTACTTTTATGTTTTAGTTTTCTTCCTTAGGATTTTTGCACCCGTGTTTATATAGTCAATATGTCTATAAATCAATGCTATTGTTAGATTATTTTGTGTGGAAATTTGCGGGTGATTTATTTCTTTTTTTTAGGAATATATTTTTAAAATAAATAAATATAAAATAAAAATTTATGAATTTGACTAAAATATCTTCATTTGGAATTTTAATAATAGCATAAAAGATTTTACACAATCCAAAAATATTTATATATAGTATATTTGATATCAGCAAAAAAGAGAGATTATTTATCATTTCTTTTTTACTTTTTTTATTTTTTTACTTTTTGTTTTTCTTTTTATTTTTTAAACAAAATGAATGTCCTCCAGTAAACATCCATAAGATCAAGTGCCCTTCACAAGCGGACAAGAGACTAGAGATGAAGTAGAAACCTCCAACCACTTTCTCATGTTATATTATTAAGTTGATCAGAAACATACTTTGGCTTAATAATTAATTGGATTACTTTTTAGACTACACACTTATTTCTAGAGGTAAACTTTTAAGTCTAAAGGTTTTCATTTAAGTATATCTAAAACTAAATATATGGAGTGTAATTTTAGTAGTGATAGATCTAGTGGAGGTTTATGACTTTGAGCAATCAAGTCATTAAGAAGTGTACTGATATCTTGGGTCTATTGTTAATAGTGATGGTGTAAAAGATGGGATATTACTAGTAGAATTCAAGTTGGATAGTTGAAGTGGAGGAATTCTTCAGGTTTGTTCTATGATAAAAAATTTATAAGATAATTGTGAGACCTGCAATGCTTTGTGGCGCAACATGTTGGCCACTAAAAGTGAAGCATAATATTAAGTTAAGTGTTGCTGACATAATGATGCTCAGGTGGATGAGTAGATTTACTCTTAGAGACGGGATACGAAAAGAACTATTTCGTGAAAAGGTTGGAGTAGCTCCAGCGACAGATAAGATTAAAGAAAGTTGACTTAGATGGTTTGGTCATGTAAAATGGTAGCATTCTGATGACCCTGTTAGGAGAGTAGATGTATTAGATTTGACCAATATTAAGAAAGGTAGAGATACGCCTAAAAAGGCTTGGTCGGAAAATATTAGAAATGACGTTTTTTTATTAGATTTAAATGAGAATTTCACTCTTAACCGGACACAATGGAGAAAAGGATTCATGTAGCTGACTCCTTGTAGTGGGATGAAGGCTTGATGTTGTTGTTGTTGCACACTTATTGAAAGAGAGAGAACTAACAAATGCATTATATGCCAGGATAATGTGAAAATGTGTTGTGAGCATGTATATAAAATGAAAGTAGGGTTCTGGACTAAGATGCTAAAGCAAAGATTAAGAAGTCAAAACAAATATGAAGGTAAGTCATTATTGATGATCCAAATATGAATAAAATACAATTTGAGTAAATAACTATAATTTTTATTATTTTTAATGCTTGATTTGATGGTCTAGCTAAAGACATTTGTGAAATAACTAGAAAGCATACACACACATGAGGAAAGAAATGAAAATCATATTGATAATTTTAAAATAAGAATATAAATTAATCACTATTAGATCTCACTATATGATTGAGATCAAACAAAATGATGTACGCTGACCAAGAAATTGGTAAGATCAGTTTTTATCAACTAAAAAAATTACATATTAATTATCATAAAAAATATATTTTACGTTACAAATTATAATATGTAATAATGCCTAATTTTAAATTAATTCTTTATTAGAAATCATTTTCTTAGTTAGATTAATTATATATAAATAGTTTTGTGTGATTACCTTAATCAATTAATCTAATTTAAGCTTCGTTTGGGACAGCTTTTTTATTGCTTTCTAAAACGGAGTTCTAATACAAATTTTTTTATTTTTGTACTAAAACTCTGTTTTAGAAAGCAATGAAAAAGCCGTCCCAAACGAAGCCTTAGTTATAGAAAGTAAGAATCCAATTAAGGCTTATATATCATGACCAATCATAAACTATGACATGAGACATATTGGATGATTAAACATACATGAATTTTTATACATTTCAACTACTTGAACTAACTACACTATGTTATGCTTCAAATCGTACTATACAATCAGCTTAAAATTTTCAAATTAGTAAAATTTAGGGTTTATTTTTTGAGTAATTAATATATATACCATTAAAAAAAAAAAACCTTAAAATATTTGTCATAAAAAGTTAGAAAATGATGTGTTCTTTGAGGGACATTTGCTTAGGCTTTTCGTTTGAGAATTTTAAGAGCTTGGTGGTGAGTTTTGAGATCCTTTGTTGAATGAATTTTTAAGTTGGTGAGATCTCATAGTAGTTTTTTTCCTTAAAAAAAAATGTTGACTAGTTGACAAAGGTTGTGTAAGATTTCTCCATTACCCATAAAAAAGAGAAGCCTTTCTATCTATAGTGGCCAAAGCAGAGAGTAGTGAATTCTTATGTTGGAGAGCTCAAGGCATGGAAATAGGTGTTTGAGTTGAATTATTGGGTGACTATGCTAACCTAAGAGGAAGGGTGAATTGGGGTTCAAAAATTATGTTTAATTAAGGTTTCGTTTGGGACGACTTTTCTATTGCTTTCTAAAAAGGAATTTTAGTACAAAAATAAATAATTTTGTACTAAAACTCTGTTTTATAAAGCAGTAAAAAAACCGTCCCAAACGAAGCCTAAGTAAAATAATAATAAAGCTTTAATGATAATTAGTAATACTATGAACAAACACACTAGTCAACTTTAAGTATAAAAATCTACTAAATCCATGATTTACCTTGTGAACAAAATTAATGTACTTATAGCCTATCCCGTACACTAACAAGTATAGCCGAATGTAAGAATAATATAAATTTTACTAAAACAAATTACTCGAATTAAGACAACAAAAAGATAACCTATTGCATAAAACACAAGTTCAAATTATCTTTAATTAAATGATAAAAATATTTAAGATGATTTTATAATATTCTATTAATTCCTTCAGCACTTGCAAATGTTATGTAAATTTTACTCACTAAAAATGTATCTCTTAGTTTATATGAATAATGTTTTACTTATTGATTTAAAACAATACTCTAAAATATATATTTTAAATTAATGTATATATATAATACTTTCAAAAATTTATTAGATTTGCAAAATAAATATATGCTAAAATTCTTTTTTTTTTTTTTTAAATTACTTGCTCATTTTATGAATAAATGAATTTTATATGTAGATAACATAATCTAAGATGCTCTAATAAGATTTCACCCAAAAATATAAAAGATAAGATGAAAAATTAAAAACAGCAAAGAAAGATTAAGAAAAAGAATGGGGAGCCATTTTTAATGAAAAAAAAAAAAAACAGAGAGCATATTGGGCTTGCAATGTGAAAAAAGCAATTTCATGAGGTTGGTAAAACAAAAATAAAATAATTGGATATGGGATTTAAATTAGGACAAAAAGAATATAGATCATCTTCCAATAATACAAATGTATGTAGCATTCATCCTTTCCACCACCTTTTATGAACGGAAACAATAGCAGAATCTATATGAAGAAAAACAATATCAACCAGTCCACAATGTGTATAAAGAATGCCACGAATGAACGACCACCCCAAGGATTCAATGGGGCCAGGCTTTAATGACTCTGGTGAAGGAAGAAAAGGTTGGTGCAAGCATTGGCACAGTCAATTAGGCTTGAGATTTAGGGTTTAGGTTCTGACACTTCTCAAGAATTATGTTACAGTTGTTCATTGTACGAGAATCCAGTAGGCTGTGATTCCACAGTTTAATCATGAACAACCTCCAGCACCTGGAAGTGGAAAAATTTATGAGCCAATTTTCAACATAGCAATTATTTAATAATCCTTGAATCTATAACTGAATTGTGGTGAGAAAACAATCAAAGTAAGACAACAGCCCACTCTCCTTTGGAAAAAATTCTTTTTGTTAGCTTTATAATCCGCATGATTTATTCTATTTATTTTGATCATAACAAATATTATGTTTGCTACTAATTTCAGAAGCATTGGTTCTATAGAATTGCAAAATGACTAATTATATGGACTGTCCATTACACACTCCAAAATCAATCAAAATCTAAACATAGAAGAGCTCTCGATGAATCACGATGGATGACTTGAAACTTTAAATATAATATTTAAAATTATATACATTTATAGGTGTCTTAGAGGTAAGAAAACTTTATTTTTTATACAAGTGAAGTTTGCAATAATACTGTAGTTACCAAGTTACTTCTTTAGTCATCATTTTGCCTAAATATTTGGGTTTGATTTTATGAATCCTCATTTTTCACTCACTCCTACTTAGTGCTAAATGAGGTTTTAAATAAATTGTGCAAAAGACTTCGTACGCAACCCCTATACAAGTTGCTTTTGATCAAACTTTTCTATCTAATTCTTTGACGTTAATTTTATCTACAAATCTAAACAGTGCATATTCTACCCTTTATTGTACCTTCCCAAATCACCAAAGTCTATCCAAGCATCTCCGTATCCACATTATAATTTCTCAATCATCATTCCAAGTTCTACTACAGTCCATCTTAAAATTCTCATTTTAATCATGCTCAAATTCTCTCTTTATGACTTATTTACAGCCCAATACTTAAAAATCAAATATAAAGTTGGCCTAATTATAAATTTATTGAAATTCCCTTCACACCATCGTATACTCACTCCTAAGGCATTTTTTCAATTTAACCACTCAAAGATTAGCACCACAAGTTGTATGGATTCATAATCACATGCATAAATAAGAAAGGCAAAGAGTTAATATTAGGGATATCAATTTTTTACACGACCCGAAACACGACCCGAACCCGACCCGAAAAAATCCGGGTTCGGGTCAACCCGAACCCGAAACGGGTAGGGTTTGGGTTGAACAAATCAACCCGTTTTAAAAATCGGGTCGGGTTCGGGTCAACCCGAACCCGAAACGGGTAGGGTTCGGGTCAACCCGAACTCAAAACGGGTCGGATTCGGGTTGAACAAATCAACCCGTTTTAAAAATCGGGTCGGGTTCGGGTTGACCTAGTAACCCGAAATTGACCCGAAAGTGACACGAAAACTTTATTATTTTAATGCTGACATCAAATAATAAATAAAAAATAATAAATAAAAACTGTAGGAATAAGTCTACCAAAGTAAAGCTGGTGTTTGAACAAAATCTTGCCCGTGTAACTGCGTAAATGCCTCGCAGGCCCATGGGATATGACCGTCTGCCAACACTCTGCCATAGAAAAATAGGGAAGTAAGTTGTCTGCCTATATGACAACCATTCATAACTGAAAAGCGAAAGCAAGTATCATTCGTATTATTACCGTCATTGTGTTAGTTTGAGTTCGGAAACAAAAAATCCTATGTTAGGTATGGTAAATCAGAAACAACTTAGTTTCAAACTCAAACATTCTCAAAACTCTTGCCTAAGTAAAAAAATTTAATTTTCACATTGAAAATGAATGAAAATAGAATCATTTTCTAAAATAAGTTTTCTTTTTACAAGCAAGCAAATGAATTCTTAAAACAAACTACCACAATTATCCTAATGTTGGTACAAGTTGACAAGAATCATCCCATTACACCAAGTTAAACAACAGAAGCTGCGCCGACATTATAATTTCCTAGGCAGATCCTAGGAAACAAATTAAATGCGCAAAGGTATAAAAGGTGCCAATAATGCATAACTTACCTTTGTTTCCTTACAAAAGAATTCCATAGATGCATAATGTGCTTTTCATCTTTTGTTACATCAACAAAATCATCTAGCATCTGCTAATAGTTAACAGAAAAATATCAGAGTATGGATCGCTAGGGTTATAAGGATCAAAATAACCATCATAGTACAGAGTAGACGTAGAAATAATTTTGATAATTTTTTTTTAAAGAAACATACTAATGTCAATTGATAAATTTCAGTAGTGGCGTGTAAATAAAACGGCATATAATAGTTAAGAAGCTGAAAACGGAGACAGAAATAAGATAAGCTTTCCACAGTGCAGGTAGACATGATAAATAAAACAATTAGATATGAGAAACATCGCATCATACCCTCCTGTCTTCAAAATCAGCAATGTCGTCATCAACTTCATCTTCACTGTCATGATCAGAAAACACTTGTTCCAAGGCCATTGGCTTTAAAGACAAAAAACATAAGAGGTTAAGTTGATGGCATTCTATTAGAAACATCAAATTTAAGAAACGAAATCAGTATAACCGGGTGACATACACAAAAGAATCTCACAAGGGGGCAAAATGTAACAAATAAAGACGTAACTCGCTTCTTGTAGCAAACAAATCAATTAAACAAGCAAATCAGAATGGAATCTCATTAGCACCAGAATTTGCTTATATATATATATATATATATATATATATATATAATAAATAAGATATTCGAACATGAAAAAAAAATAACTCCATAACTTAAGACATCGTGGGTATCGATTAATAACATGCAAACCTTTATTGCATATGGAGCACAACTTCAAAAAGGTTTAGAAAGGAAAATTTTCTTTTGAATGGACAGCAAGAACATGCTAAGCTGCTTGTCTGATAGTAGAGCTATCAACAAGTTTAATGCAAGCAAAAAAGCTTCAACTTCTTGATTGTAGCATGATAATAGGCTGGAGCTCAAGCCATCAATAAAGTAATCAACCAAGACTGAAAAAAACATGGATTAACTTCCTTGACAAACTGAATATGAAGAAGGTTGGACTTAAGTAACATGCACTTACATTCAAGCACACATGGCCACTTATAGATATATATTAGTTAGACTATTATCCGTTTAAAAGAATAGAGAACTTATCCCCACACATTGTTAAAAACTCTCATAAATTTTGAAAGAAATAGATTTAGAGTAGTTACAAGATAACTTCTAGTTTTTTTTTTTTAATTACTAATCCCTCCCTCATAACAAAAAATTTATTTTTCCTCTACCTTCAATCCTCCTCTCCCATCAAAGCAAATCGACCAAAATTACACCCCAGTCATCATAGCAGTTGTTTACGTCCACTCCTTCAATCGCAGCCAATCCTAAAATGATTGAAATCCACATCGAATAAGAAAGTTCCAAGCAGGCAGACTCTAATCGCAACTGCCAACACAAACTTTGAGATGTCTTTTCAATCTTTTACAGCAGAGCATCACTGATTGCGACTCCCACATTTCCCAAACTCAACCAAGAGGAAAACTTATTGCATTGTGGCCAAACAGGCCTATTATCCCTTCTTGTGATAAAACTATAAAATGATGATGACATTCATTAGCGTAAAAAAAGAATCTGCAATCCTCAAATAGTGTGTGAGGAGATACTGGAAAGAAAATTTGTAATATTCCTAAAAAAATAATGAAAATAAAATAAAATGATCGAATTGTCTATTGTCAGTTCAGCTGCACCAAATGTTTGATTCCACCATTTAACATCGAGAGAGGGGAGATCAAGACGAAGTATTCTGCCTATTTGAAACACAAGAGGGGTTTCATTTGGTAGCCATTACACGTGATAGAGAGAGAGAGAGAGAGAGAGAGAGGGATGAGGGATTTCATATTTTAACAGCCAGTTACACCACTAATTGGAAAAGAGGCAGAGGGTTTCTCTTTTCTTTCCAAAACATTAAACCTAGTTCTCAGTTTCAAAGAAAATTGTTAGGATATTTTTTGTATAAAGCATAGATAGTTAGCATTTTTCAAATGCAACAAGAAGGAAATATTTAAAACATAAATTTAGAAATTTGATTAAGAAATTATAAATTAAATTTTTCTTATTTTGAAATATATTTAAAAAATTTCAACATTTTACTATATATTTATATATATTAAGATTGTGATATATACAAGAATAAATTAGAATAATTTCAATTAAATTGAAATAATTTTAGATAGGAGGTTTATTTGAAGACAACATGAATCAATTATATTCTTCTTAGATATTAGTCTCATGGTTCAATGGCTGCAACCTATTAATTATTAAATATAGATTTATGTTAAGTAAGCATTTAAAATGTTATCTATTATGGTTATTGAAAATAAAATTAAATTTTAATTAAGTACAATTGAGAAAGTTAATGTTATAAGTGAAAAAATAGCCAGTGATATTAAGAAGGTAGCAAAGTATGTGCTTAGATAATCAAAAGAGAGCTTCTGAAGGAATACAAATGATTTTAGTAACATTAGTACCCTAAACGAAAATAGAGATTTTTTTGTCGTCGAATTAGTAGAATCGAAGTTGGAGAGGCATTAAACAAAATAAAGTGTGGAAAAGCAGTTGGACCTAATGATATTCCAATAGAGTTATAAAAATGATTAGGAGATTAAGAAATTTCTTGGCTTACTATATTTTTTAACATTATTTTGAAGACTAAAAAGATGTCAGATGAGTAGAGAAGTGCGTCGATTCTTATTTTTAAAAAATATAAGAGCTGCTAAAAGCATGTGAATTTTAGAGGAATTAAGTTAATGTGTCATACATTAAAATTATGGGAAAGAGTAATTAAGCATAGGTTACAACTTGATACTAATGTCACAAAATAAGGTTGAATTCATGTTTAGTAGATCTACGATGGAAGCTATACATTTGATAAGAGGTTTGATGGAGAAATACAAAGAGATTAAGAAGGATCAACATATGACATTTATTGATTTAGAGAAAGCATATGATAAAGTTCCAAGATGAGTGCAATGGAGAGTTCTAGAAAGGAAAGGAGTTACTAATGCTTATATTCAAGTTATTAAGAAAATGTATGCAATTGTTATTACTTGTGTTCAAACAAAAGATACTTTGACGAAGTATTCTTCCTATTTCAAATGGATTACATCAAGAATCAACTTTAAGCTCATATCATTTTTCTTTAGTTATGGTTGTTCTTACTAGACATTTGCAAGAGGATGTAGTTTGGTGTATGCATTTTGCTAATGATATTCTTTTCGTTGATAAGACTAGAGAGGGAGTAGAAGGAAAACTTAAATATGGAGGTCAACCTTAGAGTCTAAAGATTTCCATACAAGTGGATTTAAAACTAAATGCATTGAGTTTAATTTTAGTAGTAATAGATCTAGTTATGGAATTGTGACTTTGGGTCTATCGTTCTAAGAAATGGTGAAATAGATGGGGTTATTATTAGTAGAATTCAAGTTGGATGGTTGAAGTGGAGGAATGCGTCGGGCCTGGTGTGTGATAGAAAAATACACCTCAATTTTGCGGGAAAAGTTTAAAAGATGAAGATGAAACCTTCAACTTTATGGCATAGAATGTTGGCCATGCAAAGAGAAGCAAAAAACTATGTGCTACAAAGATGCATCATTTATTATTAATCAAGTAAAAAATTAATAATGATTTTTCTTCTTCTAAACTTGATGCATAATTTATTATTAATGTTTATCTAATTTATCATCATTACAAATTTATTTATGATTTATCTTTGTGATAAACAATTGGTTATGTTGAAATATATAACATGAATTTACTAGCATGATTCCATTATTTAAAATAAGTCATATAATGCTCATTATATAAAAATGTAGAATAATATGAATTATGAAGAATAAAAATGAAATGATTTAGGTAGAAAATTGCATAAGCATGTTGACTACTGAAACTACCTAAGGATGCCAAGACCCCGCACACATAAATTGGGAAATGTATTGAAAAAGTGAAAGAAAAAGGCAGTACTTCAAATGGCACAATTTAGACGATGGCTCCTATGACTATTGTATGATATAAGAAATGAGAGATTAAAATTTAATATGATATGATTATTTATAAAAAAAGACTTTAAAACTCTTGTATGGACATTATTGAATATAATGAATTACCAACTGATTATGAAAATTTATTTTAACTAGAATACATATTGATTTAAGAGTTTTCATTATATTACTGTAATTTTTAAATATGATTATCTATTGAGTGGCAATAACTCATCATTGTTGTGATTAAGGTGTTGAAGATAAGTTATCAAGAATTAAATGATTGGACAAAGAATCTATTTATTGTTAATGTCGAACTACAAATAGAGAAATATTTACTTTCAATGGTAATAAAATTTTTTTTAATGAATGTTGGAGTTTTAGTGGCTCGGTATGTTGGAAGTAATTGTTATTAGTTAATGTTAATGAATAAAATTTAACAAATCCATTCGAATGTTTTTTCTCACCTCGTTAATTCAAATCATTGGGTCGGGTTTTGAAAAAAAATAAAGAGAACAATTGGAAAAACTTTACCATTTTGTACCTTCCACTTTAATGGAATGACACCTTTGCATATGTAAAATCACAAAACATTCAATCTTTCTCTCTCTCATTTTATCACTCTCTCAATCTTCTCCTCTTTGAAAAAGCTACCTTTCAACAAGCAAACTTTAAGCTCAAAAAACTGATTTCCTTCTTAGATCCAAGATCAGGATTGTCCTATTGCTTGCTCAACCTTTTCAATCATAACCCTCTGCTCACTATTCTTTCTTCCAACATTCAAAATAGTATATTTTATAAATAAAATGTTGAAATTCAGTCAACGAAGATGTTTTCTATTTAAAAGATTGTGTTTGAATAAAAGTTAGCCATCACACTAACAGAAGTTCCACCTGCACAAAGACTACCTGAAGGTATAAAAGAGTCCAAAGTTCCTTGATAAGTTATTTGTTCCTTTTGGATTAAGTAAAGAAGATTGGTTCTAAATCTAATTTTTTAGAATTGTCTCTGGATAAATTTATAAATCATACTTTCAATATTAAAGATATAATTTCTTATAAAGGAACTTTATAACGTCGAGATTTACATGTTAATTCTTCTACAAGAGAGATTTCTATTATACTTGTTTCTATTAATTTCATCACTCCTGTTGCACCTACCTACTTTAATGTTGAGCATATCAATTTAGATGAAGTTATGCTTGAAAAAAATTGGGCACAGATTCACGATTAGATGGAAAGAAAAGCCTGAAATGGCCCCAGAAGAATTGATAGAACACCATCTATTTTGGTTGATTATTCAATCAAACCAACCCACAAAAATCTAGTTTCTCATGGACCAATCACAAGGCATGCTACAAAAGAGCTAATTCAAACCAATTTTCAAGGTTTACAATGCTTAAGAATTTAGGTATAACTTTACTTAATTTCGTTAATTTTTATTAGACTAAATAGAATAAAGATAAGGATAATCTCATTCTTATTTTAGAAAATAAGGATAAGGAAAATTTTATCCTTATCATAGAGTGGTATTTATTTATAACAGAGTTACTTGCATGAATGTTGAGATCATTGATAGTTCTTGATAAGGCCAATTATGATAGTTCTTGACTTTCACTAATGATCCAAGGAGTTTTTTCATCTTATTCGCTTCTTCCATATTCCAATTTTTTAGCAGTCCTTCCTGCTGCAGTAAACGAGCTCTGCCTCAGGAAGGTATGCTATTTGGTTCCAAGGATTGAGAGCTCAAGTTCAAATTAGTCTTACAAGCCAAGTTTAAACTGCTCTCTGTATGGAATTCATGAGTTTGTAATTGATCTTATGCCATACTTATAATCAATTAAAAAAATCTTTCTGCTATGGTATTCAAACAGGAATGAGATGGCACAAGACAGAATATGAAATAAAAAGCAATAATAATAAATAATAATAATAATAATAATAATAATAATAATAATAATAATAATAATAAATACGTAGCATATCACAAATAGGATAGAGTATCACCTGAGCTCGATGTGAATGAAAAAATTGACGCTTTGTTAGCAATGCCCTACTGCAAAATAAACACTATTATCAACTGATTATGATTTACAATATATAAAATGAATCATAATGAGAAAATGTTGATGGGTGAATCAGGACAGCAATACATAGCAAGGTGTGTAAAGGAATCAGAAATCTTAAGAAAATATGGCATAAGGATAACTACCTTCTAGGATCAGCTCGTTCGACAGAAAGTCTGCGAGTCTTTGCAAATTGCAACATTGAAGAGGGTAATGAGTTGCCTCCAGACAATGGATGAGTGCAGTCATTACTTGTAGAAGCCTGAGCAGTAGCCACACAGAATGTGGCAGTATCAGGACTGGAAGTTATACGTTCTGTACACTCTACAACATGGTGATTCTCCGAACCATAGCTTTCAGATTTCTGCCTTGTTGACAGCAACTGAGCTTCCCCATACAAAGATTTTTCAACCTTTTCATCTACTTTGTAAGAGCTTCCATCTGATGCATAATATTATGTAGACTGCTTAAGTATACTGATTGAAAGCAAAGAATGGAATCAATGACAAAATGATACAAACCACTAAATCCATTTGGAAGCTCTGCAAAACCAGGATATGAAATGGGTCTACAAGAAGAAGATAAGTCCATGCCTTTTTGCAAATAACCATCCTCGGAACCTTCCATTGCCCCTTCGGGAGAATCTAGCTCCACAACATGAGGATGGATATGATTTATATTCTGAGCGAGGTTTTTCAATCGCCTTCGCCTCCTAAATTTTGAGCTGCCATTAAATGGATAGGACCGTAAACTATGTAGATGTGCTTGAAATAACCATATAAGTTTGGAACATGCCCACTTTTTGCCAAAATATAAAATAGTACAAATAACATTACCAGTAAAAGAACGTCTGCAACCTTGGATCAACTCCATCTAAGAGGGCCTAATATCAAATTCCAACATAAAAAGAGTTAACTCAAGAAGGTTACTAAAATATTCACTCTAAACTAAATACCAGCTAAATCAACCAGTCTTCTTTACATTTACAAGACTAAGCAAAAAAACGTTAAGGCAGAACAAGAGCTCTTTCTCTAAAGACCAGAAAACAACAATTTCCATAAACAAACAACACATTCATAAGCAATATAAAGCGAGGAATATTTCTGTCCATTTTAAAACAACATACTAAGTCATAATCAGCGATGTTTATTACACTGAAAATTTGTTGTTTCTAAACTCCTAGTTCTTTAGAAAAAAAAAGGGATATTAATCAACAAACTAAACCAACACAGGAAAAATGACAGCCCACAATATGTTGATGCCTCATAGTCATAGATGCAAAGATTCTCAACACATCAGTAGCTCAAGTCCACTTCCTCGCATGAATGAACAGAATTTTATTGGAACATAGAGAATTAAGGCCTAAGTCAGATTCCATAAAAATTGCTATTCTTTGATCAAAACAGTTTAGTCCATCATGATAGCACGAACTTTCAATTAATTGTTGAAATCATCCAGAAAAAGTCTGGCTATCCTATATCTTGTAATTGCACCTCAACATTTGAAATGTCCAATCCCATGCCTTCATTCCGCTACAAATCTTAACATGAATTATCCAATTGAAGAATGCAATATTTGTTGAAGAACTCAAGGAAAAGTATGGGTATCCTATCTTGCAATTGCACCTCAATTTTTGGCTTGTCATATTCTTTTTCCTTCGTTCTGCTAGCAATCATAAACGAATTATTAAACCTAAAGAATGGGATTTCATCTACTGTAGTATGTGACTTAAGATTAGCATAGCTATAGGCGCATGGATCAAAAAGAATACGCTCAGACAACCTTTGGACTGAAACAGTAACATGATTTTCTTCAAAGACAGTTGTTTCAGTACAGTCATTGCAACCACAGGTGAGAAAAATGACGTACCTATGAAGCACAATGCCGAAAACATGATAATGATAAGAAAACTACAAGCACAGAAATAAGAAGCTCACTTGCATATACTGAAACTATTTTGTAGTAAGAAAGCCTAAGCCCTCCAATTTGATTGATTGAATATCTTAGTAATGAACCCCCCCCCCCCCTCACTGAAACAATTTTGTAGCAAGAAAGTAGGAAAAAAAATTGTGTCGACTCATTAAGTAGTTGAATAAATAATCAATTTCTACTCATCGTTCAACGTGCAACTAATTTCTCTATACTTAAAAAGTCTAAGCCCTCCCCCCCCCCTCACTGAAACAATTTTGTAGCAAGAAAGTAGGAAAAAAACATTAAGTAGTTGAATAAATAATCAATTTCTGCTCATCGTTCAACGTGCAACTAATTCCTCTATACTTAAAAAGCCTAAGCCCTCCAATTTGATTGATACAATATCTTAGTAAAGACCCCCCCCCCATCAAGACCCTATCATTGCACTTAGAATCGCACATATAAATTAGTTTCAAGCAATTCTTCAGCTACTTTTCAAAGATATTCTTAGTGGTCATTGTTACTTAGTTGGCCCATGCACACATCCATGACTTGCTCATGCATAATTCAGCAAATATTCCTTAGCCATTTGAATATTAGACATGTATAGTACACATGCAAAAGAATTATTGAAAAAACTTCAGTTTTCAGCATCCAACCAAAACTATGAAATTTTGAAAAAAATACCGTGTTAGCATACAGTATAATATGTATTTTGAATGCTGCATACCAGCATTACATAATAATATTTATTTGAAGGTCCTACTACAAAATAAACTTGTTGAAAACTTTTCTACCTTTCAGTTTACATGAGTGAATGCAACTTTCGAATTTGAATGTTACAGACTTTGATTGTAATGACCATGTTGATAATCTTCTTGTTTAAACTTTGAAACCAATGTAAATTTTATCATCTCATGTTTTTCGTTGAAATGATAATTATATCTTCTAATTCACTCATCTATAATTCAGATGCTTTAAACTGATTTGAACTTGCATATATAACCATATTAAGCTTATCAGCATTTGTAATTTTATGCTAATTTGAAAGATGAAAATTATATAACATAACTTCTAGGTTCTCAGTCGTTAACCATACAAGCATGTTGAGAAAACATTCTTCTGCAACAATAAGAATTAAAACGAAATATAACCAAGTGCATATTAATCACCATCAATACATAATCCCTATTTTGCTAACCTAAGAAAATCTTGACCCAACATTTTAAGTTATTCAATACAAAACACGCAATGACATGCCAACGAATAGACTTTAAATTTAACACTCCCTCACTCTTAAGCAAAGCTAATTGTTATTCTTTGACCTTGAATTTAAAACAAAAAATAAGTCATAAAATGATAATTCATAATCCAGGTATAGAACATTTTTTTTTGTGAAAAAAAAAGTATTTGAAAGAAGTTAGATTTAAGTGTACTTATTAAAATATCTTAAATCAAGATGAAAGAGACTTTTATAACTTTATTCAGCTATAGTAATACTCTTCAAAACTAGTTAAACTAAGTAAAAAATACAAGAAAGCATTTTCCAATGAAAGTGATCGATGATGGAAAAAACACAAAGATGCCGTTGCACAAATAATCAGGCAATATCTTGCAATATAAATGAAGGGCGTTTTAAATGCATATAACTACTACCAATGTGAAGTCCAGAGGGGATGATGTGCGCAGTTTATCCCTACAATGCAGTGAGCTTATTTCTAATTAAAACATGTGGTATCGAGGTTACCATGGAGGCAACCTAAAAATTGATCCAAGCTCACTTTCTTATTATTTCACAAAATAGTGTGAACTAGAAATGTATGAGACTCCAAATATTGTCCAAAATATATTCATGTAAACCATAATTAGAGCCCATTTATGTATATAGCCTCAAACAGTTGATAATGATGTTGACAAGCCTTGAAATCAGATGGTGGAGCGGTATAATTAATGCGTACATCTAAATGCATAAGCTAACCCAAAAAAATGGTGATAATGCTAACAATGATAATGAGCTTCTAAACCTGATTTTATGGCAGCATAAACCAAAAGTATCAATTTAAGATGCATCACCAACCTCGGACCGTGAAACATCAGTCCTAACTGAAACATTTACAGCTTGATACTCCTCAGTTACCTGCAACGGTCATTGATTCCTCAAAATCATCAAATAATCTGAAATTTTATGGTATAAGTGAAGATGCTAGAAGTTTACCAACCCAGAATTCAAAATTGAATAAGTCGTGACATGTACACAAGTGATACCTAAGACCCTGCAAAAAAAGGAAATTTTGAACGTTAGAATGAAAAGTTGCATCCCGAAGGTCCATCTATGTTTTAAAAGTAATGATGATATATATACAATGTTAAGAAAGCAAACCTTGAAGCTTGCACATTGCACCAAGCAAAATGGACAGGAGAAATCCTCAGTAACTGTTTACAGGAAACCGTGTAGCTCAGTTAAATACAAGAAATAAGGTAGACAACTTCTAAAAAAAAAGAATAACTGAGATTTTTTTTTCATGTGAAACAAAGGTATGATTACTGAAACAAGTAAAGATCCAAAGACTTGTGAGAAAACAAATGTCAAGATATAAGGTTTCATTTTTTTAAATTCCAACATTTAAGGCATAATTGAATACCTCGAAAATTGGGTCACCTCTAGCACGCAAAATTTCTGAGAATTCAAGAACTTAATAGAAAGAGTAGTTGGGGTAGTTTTAAAAGACGTCCAAAAATAAGAAAGATAATTACTGTGTAGCTCAATATATAAGCCACGATTCAATATCACATCGAGCCAATATCTAGGTCAATCAAATTAGTTTAATACCAAGAGGAAGTCCACTTCTACACCCCCTGAAAGCAATGCAGATTGATATGTCATTATCCGTACAAAAGCTCATCCATATCAATCAAAATTGCAAAAGGCCTAAATAAGAACTGAGAATACCTCCCTTAGCTTTCATCAGAATCACATGACTTTTTATTTGGTGGATTTGCAACTCATTCCCATTAGTGTTCACCTTAACCATTCAAGTCAATTCCAACTCCGATCGTGTTGAATTACATGCAAATCTAATGACCGTATCAAAACTTTCGGTCATATGTGCATGTTTTCCCCATATTTATTAAAATCCCGTGATTTTTTTTATGGGTGGATGCATGACATGATCTCCTACAACTTCAATTTTCTTAAGTTGATTCGAATTTTAAGTGGTGTAAATTGCACACAAATCAAGATCAGGATCCCTCTCACTATGTTGAGCATATTTTGCTCTTTTCTCATCAAAATCACATAATTTTTTACTAGAAGTTTGTTACACAATTCTACACAATTCTTATATTCAAGGCTTTAGGCCAATTTTGGCTCTTCTGACTAATCGAACCAAGATTGTAAGCCCTTTTTTTTTTATTTTTATGTTTCATGAAGTGTTCTTTTATCATGTCGTAGTCAGGTGTTAAATAAGCAAGGGTCCCCACATCATGGATGAATGTGGGCAAAGAAGTTCATCCATGAAACTGGAATTAAGATAGGAATTTAGAATAAGGTTCTCTTACAGACAAATTAATGAAATTAATAGATATTATGATTCATAGAAAGATAATATTATATGCATTCAAAAAATTAAAAAGATTAGTTTAAGATTTAAATTCTAGTATTTAGGTAGTAGTCATAATAGAAATGGTGTAGGTGTGATAATAGTTAAGAGTTTAAAAGATAATGTTATAAAAATTAATAGAATTAGAGATAGAATTATAGCTTTAAGAATTGTTATTGATGCTAAGATTATTAATATTTTAAGTACTTATACTCCCTCAAGTAGATATGAATGTGTTCAAATTAAAATTTTAAAATGATATACAAGAACTAATACAAAAATATCGCTAGAAAAAAGAGTTTTTATTCGTAAAGATTTAAAAGGACATGCTGGTAGAGTGATAGAAGATTTTAATAGCATTCATAGTGGCTATGGGTGTAGCGACTAATAAAGGTGATGGACCACATTAGATTTGTTTCTAGCTTATGATTTTGTAATTGCTAATACCTTTATTAATAAAAAAGATGAGCATTTTCATCATTTATAATGATGGATATAATAAAACTCAAATTGATTATTCATTTAGAAGAAAAAAATAAATCATTTAAATTGCAAGGATTGTAAAGTCATTCCGCGTTAAAATTTATGTACTTAATACTGTTCATTAATTTTGAATTTTAAGATGAATGGAGTAGAATATAAAAAATAAAGTGTTATCCTAAAATTAGATGGAGTATTTAAAGAATGCTAAAAAAAATATTATTTTTTATAATAACGTTCAAGATCTCAAGATTTAATTTATGTATGATGAAGACAATGTTACAGCAACAACATCAAGACTTTCTCCCACTATGTGGGGTCAGCTACATGAACCTTTTATCCATTGTGCCCCATTAAAAATTAAATTGTCATTTAAATCTAGTAAATTAATGTCATTTCTAATATTTTCTAACCAAGTCTTTTTTAAGTCTACCTCTAACTTCTTAACATAAGTCAAATTTAACATATCTACTTTTCTAATTGGATCATCGGAAAGCCATCGTTTTAAGTGACCAAACCATCTAAGACAGCTCTCTCTAATCTTATCTTCCACTAAAGCAACTCCAACCTTTTCATGTATATGCTCATTTCGTATCCTATATCTATGAGTGCAGCCACTCATCCACCTAAGCATCCTGATCTCTACAACACCTTAACACTTCCATTGTTAGGTCCTAAGTCATGGAGAAGAAAAATGGAGGGTTGCATTAGGTAGTTGACAGCCAGCATAAAACTTGACTAATAATTATAAAATGAGAAAACTAATGTTATGTGAAAAAAATTAGCAAGTGATATTATGAATGTTATAAAATATGTGCTTAGAGTATCAAAAGAAAAAACTCCTATTTAAAATAGTGAAAGTGGAATCAAAATCTGCAAGAAATATTAAAATAAGAAGTTTTGTTATAAAATTTGGTTTAGAGCTAAAATCTCATAAAATTAGGAATGAAATAAAGGGGCCCATAAAAAGTCTAAGAAAGCAATATGTCATGCAAAGAATTTAGTATTTAATGATTCATATAACATATTAAATACTAAAAAAGGCGAAAGATATATGTATTAGTTAGTCAAGCAAAGTTCAACTGAAGTGCATTAAGGATGAATATCAAAAAAATGTTTTTATTAAAAAAGAATATTCAACATAGGTGCGTGAGATATTTCGATAAGCTTTTCAATGAAAATTGTGAGAATACGGTTATCTTTAGTAACCTTAACACATTAAATGAAAATAGAAATTTTTATTTTTATCGATGTATTAGTAAAATCAAAGTTAGAGAGGGCTTTAAACAAAATGAGATATGAAAAAATAGTTGAACCTGATGATATTCCAATAGAGGTGTGGAAATACTTACAAGGTGATGAAATTTTCTGGCTTACTAAAACCATTTAATATTATTTTGAAGACTAAAAAGATGTCAAATGAGTGGAGAAAGAGTGTGCTAGTTCATATTTTTAAGAATAAAGGTAATGCACAAGAGTTTGTGAATTATAGAGGAATTAAGTTAATGGGTCATATAATAAAACTATGGGAGAGATGAATTGAGCATAGTTTACGACGTGATACTAATATTTCTCAAAATCAACTTAGATTCATCCAATGTTTAAAATTGCGTATTCGGGTATTGAGGCGTTTTTCATTCGTGAGGCGAGGCGTAAGCCTCAAGGCGTTTTGAGGCGTAAGCCTCAAAATCAAAAGATTGAGTAATCATAAAATGATAAATTTTTTATATACTAATGGATGAATAATATAAAACATAAAAAAGCATAAGATATGAAGTGAAATCAAAATATCCCAATAATAAGACAACATGAAATGCAGTTCAACTCAAAATTCTATATTTCCCAAATCCCAATAATCTTTTCATTAACATATAATTCCAATTTCCAAAAATAAATAGCAATGACATATCACATAAGAACTCATAAGTCATCAGCACTGTCATCACTAAGGGGTTCTTCATTTCAATCATCATTATCATGAACGGCTCTCTCCCCTTCCTTCTCTCCTATAGAGTCCAATGTCGGGCATTTACTTCAAGATTTATATAAGTTTTAATATATATAGCGTGAGGCGTAAGCCTCATGCCAATGTGGCGAGGCGGGTCTCAAGGCGGGCCTCAACCAAGTTGAGGCGCAAGCCTCATAAAAAAGACTTGAGGCGTAAGCATCGAGGCATTTTTTACTGGAATTGCGCAAAGGCAGGCCTCAAGGCGAGCCTCATATCGCACAATTTTAAACCATGGATTCATCCTAGGTAGGTCTAATATGAAGATATACATTTAATAAGAGGTTGGATATAGAAGTATAGAGAGAATGAGGATCCATATATGATATTAATTGATTTAGAGGAAGAACATAATAAAATTCTAAGAGAAGTGTTATAGAGAATTTTAGGTAAAAAAAGGAGCTAATAGTGTTTATTTTTAAGCCATTAAGGATATGTCTGCAGAAGATGTTACTTGTGTTCAAACACATGGTGATTTGATCAAGTTTTTTCCTATTTCGGTTTGATTACATCAAAGATCAGCTTTAAGCTTCATATCTATTTTCTTAAGTCATGGATATTCTTATGAGATATTTGCAAGAAGATATAACATGGTTTATGCTTTTTGCTAATGATATTCTTCTTGTTGATAAGACTAGAGTTAAAAGAAAACCCACTTGTCAATGGCATAAAATGGCGCGCCATGGTGCATGGCATGGCGCACCTAAGGCACCAGCTGCATGGCGCGGTGCACATGTTCAAATTGACACGTGCCATTTGTGCCACGTGTGCGCAATAGCGCACAACGCACGCAATTTGAATTTTATCGATTTTTTAATATAATTATAAATAATTTTTAGTATTTATATATTTTAATTTCTGAAATAATGTAATAATTAATTTTAAAATTAATTGGTATGATCAAAATAATTTTTTTAGACTTTCTTAGACTTTATTTAAAATAGTTTTAGGAATTTCTTTAGTAGAAATTTAGGACAAACTTAAAGCTCTTTTTAATGGTTTTGACTTTGGAACACAACATATTCAACTAAGCCTTACCCAATTCGATTAATACTATAAAATAAGATCCATATAATGATTTTTATAATTATTTTTTATTTTGGACCGTGTTCAAAATAGTGCGCGCCGCACCATGCGCTATGTACCATTACTCCACAATGAACTTTGCGCCGTGGTACACCATTTTTCATTGACAAGTATGAAGGAAAATTTAAATTATGGAGGTCAACCTTAGAGTTTAAAAGTTTTTGTTTAAGTAGATCTAACACCGAAAATACGGAGTATAATTTTAACAGTAATAAATCTAGTGGGGTTTTGTGACTTTGAGTGATCAAGTCATTGAAAATAGTACATATTTTAGATATCTTGAGTCTATTGTTCAAAGTAATGGTGAAATAGATGGGAATATTATTAGTACAAGGCAAATTGGATGGTTGAAGTGGAGTAATGCATCGGGCCTGTTGTGAGATAGAAAAGTATCCACCAAACTTAAGGAAAAATTCTATAAGATAATGGTGAGATCTACAATGCTTTATGGAACATAATGATGATTATTAAAAGAGAAGCACAAAATAAAGTTAAGTGCTGTAGAGATGAGGATGCTCAGGTGGATGAGTTTCTTTACTTTAGAGATAAAATGTGAAATGAGTGTATACATGAAAAGGTTAAAGTAGCTCTAATCGCAGATAAGATTAGAAAGCCATCCCAGATGGCTTTGTCATATAAAACATCAGTCTTTTGATGACATGTCTATGAGAGTATATGCATTAGATATGACTTATATTAAGAAAGGTAGAGGTGGATAAAAAGATTAGAATTAAAGTATTAGAAATTACCCTTCTTTATTACGTTTAAATGAGAATTTGACTCTTAATAAGACACAATGGAGAAAAAAGATTCATGTAGCCGACCTCACGTAGTGGAATAAAGGCTTGATGTTGTTGGTGTTATTGTATGATAAAGTTTTTTTTGGCTATTTACACAATTAAATTAATAATTAATAGACTTTTCACTATGGTTACTCATTCCATTAGTATCATATTGCATATACAAAGTTCGCCATAACTACCCTTTCCATTAGTCTCATACAACACATGCCATGAAAGGGAGAAGGTTTTGAAGTTATAAAGCTCAAGTTGATATAAATAGAAATTAGGAAATATATAAGAATTTGAATTCAGAATTTCTAAAATTATAATCCCTCAAAGATGGTGAAGCACTTTAAAATAATGTGTGAGGCTTTTTTTAGGTGATTCTTCAACAAAATTCTTATCGCCGCTTCTTTCTTCTATTATCATTTTTTTTCTTTTTTGACCTCTGTCATGATGACTGAGGCTCAAAAGAGTTCACTTTTTTCTGCCCAGAGATCAAAGGTGAAAATACCAATAATGCATATCTTTCTTTATTGTGATGGTAGCTACCTATATAACATATTGATATTATACATGTATCTAATTTAGGGGTGTAAACGAGTCGAGTTGAGCTCGAGTTAGGGGGTGTTCGAGCTCAACTCGCAAGTCAAATACCCAGCTCGAACTCGAGCTCTCGAGCTCGAGTCGAGCTCAAAAGTCGAGCTCGAGTTCGACTCGCGACACTATATCGAGCTTATCGAGCTGCTCGCGAGTTGCTCGTTTTCAATCGTCACTTTCCCGCCTGCATTTGATTTTACCGCCTGTTTATTTTTTATTTTTTTTTTGGGAAATCGCCCGTTTCACTTTCCCGCCTTTAGCATTTATTTGAAAAGAAAAATGCTGCAGCTTTTAGATTATATATATTATTTTTTCAAAAACGTTTTATTATTTTATAATTCAAAAGCTTCTTTTCATTTATTAGCATTTATTGATATTGATGTTTTAAAATATTTTTAATAAGCTGTTGTTGAATATTTGATTTATTTTTTTAGAATATTTGATTTAAAAAAAATTAAACACTAATTCGAACCGGCTCGCGAGTTCACGAGCTGAGCTTCGTCAAGCTCGAACTCGAGTTCGTTTACTAAACAAGCTCGAACTCGAGCTCAAGCTCGACTGGTGAGCTTGATAAGCTCGACTCGCGAGCCCATAAACGAGTCGAGCTCGAGCCAGCTCGGCTCACTTACACCCCTAATCTAATTCTAACACATGCACGTGAAGGCCCATGCATGCCTATTTTAGTACAATGAATTAGACTCAATCATGTCGACTGAAGCTCACAAGTGTTCGCATTTTTATCTCTGTTGATCAAAGGCTGGCAAATATCAATCATGCACCCTTCCTTTAGGTTGCTGGGAGTTGCCTCTAGAGCATATTGATATTATACATGCATCTTTTTCTAACACTTGCACGTGAAGACCCATGCATGCTTATTTTAGCACTGTGAAAGACTTATATCTACTTTTCATATCATGCTTATTTTAGCACTATGTCACACAGGTTGGAAGGAAAAATGAAATGATCAGAAAATCTTGAGAATGTGTCATATTAGGTGATAGGTGAATAGGGCAATATGACCCTAATGGGCAGTGAGACCTAGTAGAGGTTATGCGGCCTCGATATGATATGAAGCCGATGGGCGATAAAAGCAGTGTGACCTCAGGAGCCTCGTAGCGACCTCTAATGATTACATGCAATTCTCACTTCCACTTGTTGATACACAAGTATTGTGTTTCATATACTTGAATACGGTATTAGACTTTCATATATTTTTGAGCCTCGTAGCTTACCAGATTTTATTCTGGCTGGTGTTATAAGAAAGGGCAGAGATAAGGTGGAAGCTGACTAGACTCGGGTAAATTTTAAAATTATGTTTGGTTTTATGGTAGTATGAGATGAGTTCAGAGCAGAGATACGTGAATTGTTACGAAAATACTTTTAGATGATTAGTTAATCTGTAATTTTATATATATATATATATGAAGTGTATGAAGAAAATTGAATGTTTATATTTTAAGTGGCATGAATATGGTTGAAAATATTTGTTTTATGAATGTTTAGGAATTATATAATTTTCTTTGTTGTACCCTGCGTTATTTGGAAGGGACGAGGTAGGGTGTGATAGATATTGAGCCCACCTTTCATGGCATCGATAGGATGCTATTTTGCACCGAAACACCTATTTATGAAGGCGTGATGTATCCGATACACGGATACGCCTCCGATACGCCAACGATACGTGACGGATACGCCAAAGTCGTATCCAATTAAAATACTATTTAATTTCAAAAGGACATGCGTATCTGATATGTGTGTCCATTGAAAAACAAAAAGAAATCCAAAAAAGACGTGTCATATTTGCTTCCGCAATTGCGAGCAAGGTCCTCTCATTTCCGAGATGGATTTGAGTCTCTTGATGATATGGGAATATTATAAATTACTAATCTTTCATTTGATGAGCCTGAATTAGAAGCTATGATATTTATTGAAGATGATATAGAAGTTCAAAGACAAACCACTAAAGAAGTTGATCATATTATTCCTTCTATTGAACAGTTGAAACTTCATGTGCCAGATAATTTATGTTTATGCTTTTGTTATTGTACTAGACATTTAATGCGTACTTGTATTTTGATATTATAAGCTACAAGGCTACAAATGATGTTGTTGTCATTCTTTTTTGTAATTTCAAATATTATGTTTTGATTGTTTTCTTAATTTTATGTATGATTTATAAATTATAATGTCGTGTTCGTGTCGTACCCGTATCATGTATTTTTAAGAATTTACATGTCTCGTATTCGTGTCGCCGTATCCGTATCGTTGCAACATAGATAGGATGTCATCACTTAGATATTTTGCACCATAGTACCCATCTTCCTTGGTGGAAATTGCAACCAAAATGCCTTGCAAACCATACTATGCACACTTTTTTCATAGCGACATGACCCAACAATCTTCTTGAGCCCTTGTAAAGGTGGAAAATATGTATTGCAAAATTTCTAACAAAATGTAGTCCAAAATATAAAATGCAATCTTTTAGCTAACACCTACAAGTCCAATCCATATGTCCATCAATCCTAGCATTGGCAAAATATATTTTCCTTGCTCTATGTACTTGCCCACCTTTTTTGGCTGGGTTGTATAGATGACATAAATTATAGTTGCAGCGCTTGTGCAAAAACACCACACAATATTTGTTTCTAAGCATATGGCTCAATAACCTTAGTAGTTGTTTTAATCATTTGTAAAATGATCATTTGATTGTACTCTCCTTCGTTGTAGCACGTTATCAAGCAGCTCTTCATGGTCAAATCCGTATATCAGTGTGATTCCATCCATCCTTATGTGCAAACGGAGCCAAAATATCATAACATATAGCCTTATGAGCCAGTAAGCAAAAATTTTCATCAAAACAATATCATGCCAACTTTAGTGTATGGATGGGTACTTATGATAACTATGGACAAATGCTGACTCCAACCAACACAAATTACAATAAAAAAAGAGAGAGAAAACACAAACAGTCCGTACCTTCAGTTTTTTGCAGCTTGTTGTTATAGTACCTATAATTAAAGAGGACATTGCCAGATCTCAACCTACAAAATTGGCATAGGCAAGCTGATCAATGAAGAGCTTGGTCTCTATATAGAAAACAAAACTAAAAAATATGGCATAAAATAATCTACATTCGCATTTTACTTGCAAACTAATACGAAACAATTGAAATAAAAATTGACTAGGCATGCTAGAAAATCACAAATGTTGCAGCACTCTTGGACAAAAACATAATGGAATGACTGAAGCACATATATTAAAAAGTAAAAGAAGGGAGCGGCAAAAAACATCGTGATAAGGCATAGCAAACATCTACCTGCAATATAGAGAGCAAGTCAAGCTCAATATAGACGTTTTACATATGACATATGCATAGTTAAATCTACTATTACCCTTGCTCATACTTGATGCATATTATGCACGAGATTAATGAAAGAGATGTTAAGTTTTCAACAAAAAATTCAATATTATAAAGGTAAGGATTTATCATACTCTTTGTTCGACAATTCAGATAGAACAGCAAACAACTCCTTTCATCATAGATCCCACTATAAATAAAACAATCAGCAACTAAAGAAAAGTCCCTTCCAAACTACTGATCAATTAAAATAGGTGGTCAATCTCACCGATATTATTATAAATTTATTACAAACTATATAATATAAACCAATAAATCTTACTACAACAACAACAACATCAAGCTTTTATCCCACTATATGGGGTCAGCTACATGAATCATTTTTCTCCATTGTGTCCTGTTAAAAGTGAAATTCTCGTTTAAATCTAATAAAGAAAGATAATTTCTAATAAATCTTACTATGAAGGAAAAAAATTAAAACATACAGGAAATTTAAGAATAATTAAAAACCACAAAAGTTTTTGTTTGATGTTGCACTTGAACTGCACCAGCAACTTCATGTGATTGCTAGCTTCATAGCAAACTATAACCATGGCGGGATGTTGTAAACCAGATCAACAACGGCCATGGTGAGCGTCCACCACAGATGAATCTCATGTATGTTGTGCTCCTCATGAGGAGCGGCTTAAAAAGTCTATAGTAGGGCAATGACAAACTGATCTAGATCCGAAAGAAAACTATATGAGCAATGATAAATCATAATGATGGACCCCTGAATCTCAACCACTCAATGGAAACAGTTCACCAACGTAACTGCATCATTTTTGACAGACTAGCGAAAAGATTGCTAGTGTGGCTGCTAAGCCGACAAATGAGATGGTTTAGCTTAATTAAAAGTTGCTTTATTACAATCAAATCAAAAAACGAATCCACGAGTAAAGCACTACCATAAACTAAGGAAAAACACAATTTCCAACAATGGTTCCATCCCATCTTGTTTTCTTCCACCATTTTTCAATCCACAATCACAATTCTTGCTATCTATATTTAAGTACTGGTGCAGCACATTGTAGCAAGCAATTTTTGGCGTATGACTATCATGACCGTACAGCACATGGTAGAAGACAATGGAGAAACAGCAGGTGACAAGACTTCGTAAGATATTTTTTTGTTCCGCATGATCTTAAGAAAACCTATAATGAAGAAGATTTAAGTTTTCATACATAAATCTCCCTAGCCTATCATGCGTAACCCAATATGTCTAAAACTTTCACAGCTTTTAAATCATCCATTATAACTATCCAGGTAGAAGACAGATACCAATCCATCTATTAAAAGAGCGCCAAGGAGGAAAAAGTTTGGTGGAAACTTTTTAATGCCTGCCACTCATAAAATACTATTTGCTAAGGAAAACATGATGCTAGGGCACGAACCCTGCTTTCTCTAGCTTAAGGTCGCATTTTTTCCCGAGGTAGATTGGATTTTAAATTAATAGGATTTCCTCTGATGATCGGCATCAAGGTTTATTTAGTTATGAGGTTTCACTTCATATGAGCGCAAGTCCTCTGTTAGACCGGTCCATTGGACCAGCTTACGCAAATAAAGGCGGACTTTTCCGCCTCGTGTACGCGCTGAATGCAAGCCCAAGTGTGCGTTAGTTGTTTAGAAAGGTTTTTTGAGGGAGTTAGGAGTGAATTTGAATGTAGGGTCTGTTTAGGAATTTCCTCTTGATTTGTATGCATTAATTTGTTTCCTAGGGTTAGGGCATCTTGAATTTAGCTGAAATTTGAGATGTCATAGGTTTAGATTTTTTTTGGGCTTTAGCGGCATCTAGAGATTTTGGAGAGATTGATCCTCCTCTCGAATTGAGGATCAACTGTATCTTGCTATTTTATGTTTCTATTTCATCAAATAAGGCAAATTATCTACTGTTTTCATTGTTTTGTGTGAATTTTTGTGGAGAATTCTCACTGTTTTCCGAAGACTGATAGGAAATACTTGAGTTCAAGTGTTTCCTATCAAATTGTTATCAGAGCACATCGATCTAAGGGGAACTAATGGCCAAAAACTCAAAGATGATTTTGAGGAGAAGATTGCTGATTTTCAAAATCAGATTGCATTCATCAATAAAAGGATGGAGGGAAAGCTCGCCGTGGTGGAAGACATGTTGAAGAAATTACTTGATGCCAAACCCAATCCGGTAACATAGGAAGAAAAGGAAACTACTGGCAGACATGAAAGAGGTGGGAACCCTAACACGTTAAGGGAAGGGAAAATCTAGAAGTGGAGAATCCGGAGGGAGAAGACGAAATGCCTCCTATAGAACCACTTTCTAGGAAGGAGATAAGCATTGGCTACGCAAGAAGAGGTGCTGAACTTGTAATGAGAGGGGATGATTTCAATCACCGGGGTACTGATTTTGAAAGAAGAAGAGGGGATTTTGATGAAAGATTTGGGTATAAGCGCCGAAGGGAAGAGCGTGACGATTGGCAGGCACCTCCTCTTCGAGGAATGGGAGACTATAGAGGATTTAGGGGAAATGGGGGTGATCCGAAGGTGAGAGAGCTGAAGATGCCCATCTTTGAGGGCGATGACACACATGAGTGGATCTATAAGGTAGAAAGATATTTCACCGTCAATGTGTTGACGGAAGAGAAGAGACTGACGACAATGGGCCTTGATAAAACATTTCCGAACTGGCAAGGAATAAGACTTCTACGAGCATTTCTTTTCCTTGACACAGGATTGTTTAGTAATGGAGTACCGGAAGAGATTCGACTACCTTGCTAGCCGATTGGACTTCCTTCCTGAGACAGTGCTAGAGGGAGATTTCATGAAGAGACTAACACCAGAGATTCGAGCAGCTGTTAAAGTAATGAGGCCTCATGACTTGGGAGAGGCTATGGAGCTAGCTCAATTGGTGAGGATCAGAGGCACTAGGAGAGAGAGAAGGTAGGCAGCAACTTAGGAGGTCCGAACAAGAGGACCACCTTTCTGGCACCCAAGGAGCAGACACCGGGTATTTTTTGGGAGACTTCAAAGGAGAAGACTGTAAGAGTAATAGGGACAACTTTAAAAAGCTCACAAAAATGAAATTACAAGAGAAAAGGCAAAAGGGATATATTTCAAATGTGAAGAGAGGTATCTCTTAAATTTAGGTTTTCTTTTGGGTTCTAGCGGCGTCTAGAGATTTGGGAGAGATAGATCCTCTTCTCGAACAGAGGATCAATTGTATCTTGCTATTGTCTATTTCCCTTTCATCAAATAATACAAATTATCTACTATTTTCATGGTTTTGTGTGGATTTTTGCAAAGAATTATCATTGTTTTCCGAAGACTGATAGGAAATACTTGAGATCTACAAGTGTTTTCTATCATCCTCATAGTAATTACCTCTTTTAACGCGTAGAAGAGAACTCTCGATTAAGGATAAATCGATGTTTAGACATATAATCGATGTTTAGATCCCATGGTTCCGTCGTCCCTGGTATACTGTAGGTTTCATTTTGCCAATACTAACAACTGTTGATTGTAGTGTCCAAGGAATCTGATTACCAGTCATGGATTGCCTCCGCTCAGGGATCCCGAGTAAATTGAATTGGATAGGTGTAGGTTTTAATTTTATTATGATTTGGGATTTACATCTGTTAGAATACCCAATATTTAATTTAGTTTGGGATTTATGACTTCATTTAGAAGTTATGCAGTTGTTTGATTTAGATTTGGAGTAGGGGCTTACGACTTTTATTAAAATTAGTCCGTATAACGGGTCTTATGGCTTACCTTGTAAGTAGCCCATGTAGCGGGTCTTACGGCTTCACATAGAATTGACACATACAACGAGTCTTACAGTTTCACTTAGAAGTGGCCTATATAGTGTTTAAAAGGTTGCGACTTACAGCTTTCATTGAAAGTAGCCCGTGTAGCTTAGAAGGTTATCAGGGATGTGTTATTTGTTCTGGAAATATTTTCCGTAACACCCAAGTAAAGTGGGACTTACGGTCTCTATCAGAGGTGGCCCGTGTTATCGGGGTTTTAGGGTTAGGTCATTTTTACCTAAAAGTTTCCTCTAACGCATTAATTAAAGTTGGACTTACGACGACCTCTATGAAAAGTTGTCTGTTGAAATTTAGGTTGGAGTGGTTTTAGCAGCAGACATTTAGCTTTGCACCCTTCACTGCTTTGACACCAGCACCAGTTAGCGGGGTTTTATCAGCAGACATTTAGCTTTGCATACTTCACTGCTTTAACATTAGCACCAATGCTTTTCCTATAGTAGCAGCATTGCTTTTTCTTTAGTACTGTTGTTTTAGCATTAGCACTTTGCTTCTAGCAGTTTGTTTTGCCTACAGCCCTAATTTTCTTTCAGCACTAGTTTTACCTGTAGTAATAGCTTTACCTACTTGTTTGCTCAGTACCTATTTGTTTTAGTACTAATTTTGTTCTTTCCAGTACTAGTTTTGTTTACCCTGCACTACTTTAGTCTACTTGTTGCATGTATTTTTGACGAACAGTTGGAGGATTTACTGAGAGCAGGAGCAATCCCTGAGTTGGAGAGGTTTAGGTTATGATTTTTAAAGCTTTCTTTCAGATTTAGTGCTTTCTTAATTTTAGAAATTTGGTATTAGTTGGTGTGAGTTGTTTTAGTTTGATTAGTGTAAACATTATTCTTAGTGTTTTAAT